CAGGATCTCAGAGGATACTAGGATGAGGGGCGGGGGGATCCAGTGAAGGGGGAGGGACAGGGAGGGTATGGGGTGAAAGGGGAGGGAGGACAGGAAGGAAAGGGGGGGAGGGAGGACTCGGCGGGAGGAGGGGAGGGGTAGAAGGGTGGGGATTGGGTGTGGGGGGAGGGCGATTTGGCTGAACATTTGAGTGGGGGCAGGGAGGGTTTGAGGTAGGGGGGTTTTCTATGCAGAGGAGAGTGGCGGGGTTGTCCTCCCCCTCTGGTGTTACTGGGTAGCTGGTTGTGGGTTCCCCCCTCGCCTCTGGGGTTGTTGTGTTGGGAGCTGTGACTTCCTGGTTTTCCCCTCTCGCCCTGCGCCTCTTCCTTGCTTCTGCCGCCATGGCTCTCTCCTCCCTTATCATGTCTCTCTGGAAGAATACATTTTTGAATTTTCCCACTTTTTCAGGAAGCTCTTCCTTGATAGAATCTTCTCTTTTGTGCTCTCGTTTGCGAACACTATCTTTATCACTCGGTCTCGGTTTTTGTTGTACCATCCTAGCCTGAAAACCTTCTCAATGCTATGCTCAGCCCCTTCCATGTCTAGTGCCTTTAGTACTTCATTCACTGCTGCTTTGTCCTTGTCATTCCACTCTGTCCTATTAGAGCCTTCCTGCTCTTTAATACCCACAGCAACCACTGATCTGTTCCTTTTCAGCAGTTGGCTAGTGGAGTGTGCCGCCTCCTGTGAGGTGGCTGCTTTCATGGCCACCTTCATCACTGCAGTCATTACTTCAGAGTTATTTTTTTAGTATTTCTGCAAATGTTGCTTTTATTGTGGCATTCTCATCCAAAATACTATTACCACCTTCTCCCTGGATGATTTTCTGATTCTCAGCCTCGATACCATTCTCTTTGAGGGCTCTAATCTCCTCCTTTGCTGCTGTCAGCTCTCTTTTCAGGTTGCTTATTTCGTTCTTCATTTCCTTCATTGTTGAATATTTTATCCTTGTTTACCCGGTCGATTCCTCAGAGGATTTTGTAGGTTGTGGTCATGTCTCCCCTTACTCTTCTGTCTTCCAGTGTCGTAAGGTGCATTTCCCGCAGCCTTTCCTCGTAACTCATGCCTCTTAGTTCTGGGACTAGTCTAGTGGCATACCTTTGGACTTTTTCCATCTTCGTCTTGTGCTTGACAAGGTACGGGCTCCATGCTGGGGCCGCATACTCCAGGATTGGTCTTACATATGTGGTGTACAAGATTCTGAATGATTCCTTACACAGATTCCTGAACGCCGTTCTGATGTTAGCCAGCCTCGCATATGCCGCTGACGTTATTCTCTGTATGTGGGCTTCAGGAAACATGTTTGGTGTGATATCAACTCCTAGATCTTTCTCTCTGTCTGTTTCAATAAGTACTTCATCTCCTATTCTGTATCCTGAGTCTCGCCTCCAGTTTCCACTGCCTAGTTTCATTACTTTGCATTTACTCGGGTTGAACTTCAACAGCCATTTGCTGGACCATTCACTCAGTCTATCTAGGTCATCTTGTAGCCTCCTACTATGTACTCACCTATTTGTACTCACCTATTTGTGCTTGCGGGGGTTGAGCTTTGGCTCTTTTGTCCCGCGTCTCAACTGTCAATCAACTGGTGTACAGATTCCTGAGCCTACTGGGCTCTATCATATCTACATTTGAAACTGTGTATGGAGTCAGCCTCCACCACATCACTGCCTAATGCATTCCATCCGTTAACTACTCTGACACTGAAAATGTTCCTTCTAACGTCTCTGTGTCTCATGTGGGTACTCAGTTTCCACCTGTGTCCCCTTGTTCGCGTCCCACCAGTGTTGAATATTTTATCGTTGTTTACGCGGTCGATTCCTCTGAGGATTTTGTAGGTTGTGATCATGTCTCCCCTTACTCCTCTGTCTTCCAGTGTCGTAAGGTGCATTTCCCGCAGCCTTTCCTCGTAACTCATGCCTCTTAGTTGTGGGACTAGTCTAGTAGCATACCTTTGGACTTTTTCCAGCTTCGTCTTGTGCTTGACAAGATACGGGTTCCATGCTGGGGCCGCATACTCTAGGATTGGTCTTACATATGTGGTGTACAAGATTCTGAATGATTCCTTACACAGGTTCCTGAACGCTCCTGTGTGTGTGTGTGTGTGTGTGTGTGTGTGTGTACTCACCTAATTGTACTCACCTAATTGTGCTTGCGGGGGTTGAGCTTTGGCTCTTTGGTCCCGCCTCTCAACTGTCAATCAACTGGTGTACAGATTCCTGAGCCTACTGGGCTCTATCATATCTACATTTGAAACTGTGTATGGAGTCAGCCTCCACCACATCACTTCGTAGTGCATTCCATTTATTAACTACTCTGACACTGAAAAAATTCTTTCTAACGTCTCTGTGGCTCATCTGGTTACTAAGTTTCCACCTGTGTCCCCTTGTTCGTGTCCCACCCGTGCTGAAGAGTTTGTCTTTGTCCACCCTGTCAATTCCCCTGAGAATTTTGTAAGTGGTTATTATGTCTCCCCTTACTCTTCTGTTTTCCAGGGATGTGAGGTTCAGCTCCTTTAGCCTTTCCTCGTAGCTCAATCTTCTCAGTTCCGGGACGAACCTGGTGGCATACCGCTGAATCTTCTCTAACTTTGTCTTGTGTTTAACTAGGTATGGACTCCAGGCTGGAGCTGCATACTCCAGGATTGGTCTTACATAAGTGGTATACAGGGTTCTGAAAGATTCCTTACACAAATTTCTGAAGGCAGTTCTTATGTTGGCCAGTCTAGCATATGCCGCTGATGATATTCTTTTTATGTGGGCCTCTGGGGACAGGTTCGTTGTGATATCAACCCCCAGATCCTTCTCTCTATTTGACTCTTGCAGGATTTCCCCTCCCAGATGATACCTTGTGTTCAGCCTCCTGCTCCTTTCGCCTAATTTCATCACCTTACACTTTCCTGAGTTGAACTTTAACAGCCATTTTCTAGACCATTCCTCCAGTTTATCCAGGTCATCGTGTAGTCTCTGTGTATCTTCATCCGTCTTGATTCTTCTCATAATTTTTGCATCATCAGCAAACATCGAGAGGAATGAGTCTATACCCTCTGGAAGATCGTTCACATATATTAGAAACAGGATGGGTCCAAGTACTGAGCCCTGTGGGACTCCGCTGGTGACATCTCGCCACTCTGATGTCTCCCCCCTCACCGTTACTCGTTGTTTCCTGTTGCTTAAGTACTCCCTTATCCACTGGAGCACCTTCCCTTTTACTCCTGCCTGTTGCTCCAACTTTTTTAACAGCCTTTTATGGGGTACTGTGTTAAAGGCTTTTTGACAATCCAGGAATATGCAGTCGGCCCACCCTTTTCTTTCCTGCCTAATTTTCGTTGCCTGGTCATAAAATTATATTAAACCTGTGAGGCACGAAACCTGTGTGTGGCACGAAACCTGTTTGTGTGTGTGTGTGTTACGGGCCTCTCAGGTCGCAACCGGGTTCTTTCTCAGATGCAAGTAGCGTTTGGGTATCCGGCCCCAAGCTAGTAGTGGCTTTCAAGGGGTGGGCTCCGTAACGCAAGTAAATTAAAGGGGAAGGGAGACAAAGGCAAAAACTTAATAATATAATTGTCACCATCACCATAAATAATATATATCTTATCACACGGGGGAGGTATCAACACTATTATATACAATGTGGTCTTCTTCTGAAGACGCGGAGTGTTCCAAGGTGCTCGACGATGCTAAGGTCTTGGTCCTCTTGTGGCCTAGCTCACGACGAATCCTTCGATTCTCTTGAGTCTACCCTGGCCACAGGCCAGCCAAATTACAGTTCCACTGGGGGCACTGTCGTGGAGGCCGTCAACCACAAATCCAGCCTGTAGCTGGCAGGTTCCAATCAGCAACGCTGGTTAGGCCACTCCACGATCGATACTAGGGTAGCGAGCCCTAGTCAGGAGCCTCGTGTTATCCCACAGATCACTCTCCTCACCACAACACCCCAGTGGTTAAGCGTCTCCACCAGTCAGTCCCGGGTACTTCAATCCCTCAGCTGCCACGTCACAGACAGGCTAACACCACAGTGTTCATCCGGGGGGGTGACTCACAACTGCTGCAGCAAATACTTGGAGACAAGACGGCTGCCTTGGGTAGACTGATCCAACTTCCATTACAGCAGTCCCAGGTCGACTCTGTAATCAGACACATCATCAGTAATAGGGACACTCTAGGGCACCCCACTTACAGGCTTAGACACAAACGCCCACCCATCTACTCCATAGATGGCGTTGCTGTCTAAGCGTCACCTCACCAGAGGTCAGCAGCGGCTACGTCACGAGCTGATTAGGACTGGAAACTAGCCCTTGTGGCCAGTATATCTCGTCCTCACTAGATGGCGTCGTCCTTTTGGAGGGGGTTTTGGGAGCTGACCCACAGATGGCGTGGTCGTCACTGCTCCGGGCTCGGGTCCGTAACAGTGTGTGTGTGTGTGTGTGTGTGTGTGTGTGTGTGTGTGTGTGTGTGTGTGTGTGTGTGTGTGTGCGTGTGTGTGTGTGTGTTTCGTCACCTGTCTCCCCATCTGTGTGTGTGTTTGTGTGGTAGTACTGAGTGTGCCGTCACCCGTCTGTGTGTGTGGCAAACAGTACTGAGTGTACCATCACCCGTTACCCTGTATGTGTGTGTGTGTGTGTATGTTAGATAGTGCTGAGTGTATACATGCACGTTCACTGCCTTCTCGGCTGAGTGTGGTAGACAGTACTGAGTGTACACGTGTACCGACACCCATCTCTGTATGTGGTAGACAGTGCAGAGTGTACACATGTACCGTCACTGCCTTCTCGTCTCTGTGTGTGTGTGGTAGACAGTAAAGAGTGTACACGGGTACCGTCACCTGTCTCCCCGTCTGTGTGTGTGTGTATCCAGCTTTGTATCTGTTTATTGCCTGTTTGACAGTCATTTTGTGTGTATAGCAGTTAATATACCAAAAGATCTCTTCCCTGGTGCACTAACAACGCCTCCTGCCCACAGACGTCACCAAGCTGCCACCAGAAGCCCTGGCCGTCGACGTCTTCGCGCGACAAACAAGGGTAATTACTAAACAACCACAAATTAGGGATACTAGATACGAAAACTACTTTCTTCTCTATGATTTTTTATCTCTCTTTTTTTCCTCTCTCTTTTCCCAGGACAAACAGTTGATTATAGGCATTTTCTCTGCTGTTGTTCTTCCGCACAATACCGCCACTTGAATGTCCTGGTTGAATAATATTTACTTGCTGTATTAATTCTCTCTCGTCTCTTTCTCCCTTCGTTTGTTTCTCCATCTCTCTTTCTGTACTCCTTACACCAGCTTCCACCACTTCTGTTCTAAATTATCAAAACAATTCCTCATTACATAACTTGTCACTGGTGTACCTAACTTCGAATATGCACTGATCGCTTCTGATGGCCTACATTGATAACAATAAATTCCATAGCAATATAATCGATAACACTGTATCTGATAACAATGAATTCGATAATAATATAACGTATTTGCCGGCGAATAAGGCGCAATTTTTTTATTTTGAATGGATGATAAAAGTGCCCTGCGTCAACTGCCCGTCTACTGGCTAGCTAATGGGCGGGCAGGTGGAAGAGCTAGCTAGTGGGCGGGCAGGTGCAGTGGCTAGCTAGTGGGCGGGCAGGTGGACTGGCTAGCTGGTGGGTGGGCAGGGAGACTAGCTGGCTAGTGGGCGGGCAGGTGGACTGGCTGGCTAGTTGCCGAGCGGGTGGACAGGTAGGTTAGTGGGCGGGAAGGTAGACTGGTTGGCTAGTGGGCAGGCAGGTGTAAAAGCTTGCTAGTGGGTGGGCAGTTAGACTGGCTAGCTAGTGGGTGGGCAGGTGGACTGGCTGGCTAGTGGGCGGGCAGTTGAACTGGCTGCCTAGAGGGCGCGCAGGTGGATTGGTTGGCTTCTGGGCGGGTAGGTTAACTGGCTGGCTAGTGGGCGCACAGGTGGACTGGCTGGCTAGTGGGCGGGCAGGTGGACTGGCTGGTAAGTGGGCGGGCAGGTGGACTGGCTGGCTAGTGGGCGGGCAGCAGGATTGGTTGGCTAGTAACCGGCAGGAGGACTGGCTGTCTCGTGGGTGGGCAGGTGGACTGGCAGGTAAGTAGGCGGGCAGGTGGACATGCTGGCTATTGGGCGGTCAGGTGGCTGTTACCACCCTTGAGACTAAATAAGGTTCTTCTCCCCGCAGTGCAATAAAGAAAAATAATAAATCGGCCTTGCCAACTGTCTAGGGGTAAATATACATCACTGCATAAAATGGAGAACAATATATTTATGCTAAGGGGGACAAACAATACAACACTTAATGTATAAATAATAACCAGAAATATTCTTCAGCATGCAAATCATAGAATAACCTCCTTATTGAGACATGAGCACTATCACTAAGACATGGATTAATTAGAGATATATACAATATGATCTAACCAGATAATTAACATTTATATGGGCTAAAATAACAGTGACCAATGACTTAACTTAAACATGCCTCCTCACGACAGCAGCCGCCACGCTTCTGCCCACGCCTTGGACCGCAGGCCAAGCGTCTACCAAAAAATCAACTAACCGTCCACACAAAACATTGTGGAAAATCTAATAATAAAACGCAGCACTAATATTCAAAACATTGTTAAACTAAAGAGTAATAAACACTGGTACAACATTCCATACAATAATACAGAAACCAAAATATGGGAATAATCAATGTACAACTATAAACAGGGGCAGTATCACAAAGACAGTAGACTCCAGACAAAGACTCCACAAAGACAGTACCTCTCTCAACCAGTTTAAGTTAAAAACGAAGCTATACCTAATAAATTCCCTGTAACCTACCTTACCTCTCTATTGTCAACCCATGTATGTTTTTTGTTTTTTTTTTTGTTTTACAAATCAACGCTGTTTTAATGTAATTTTCTGTAATAATTTGTAATTGTATTTGTGTTTTTTTTTCAACAATGTTCCCCCCTCTTTTACCTCTATTTTTATTTGTACTCAACGCATTTTTTTTCTTTTTACCCATTAGTTTTAAGCTTTAGTCAGTAGTGTTTTTTTCTGCCCGAAACGCTTTGCGTAATAGTGGCTTTAGGCATTGTATGTACTAGCTCCTATCTATAAAGCCAACAAACTTTGTAAAATCTCTTTATGTATGTACCTTTGCCTAAATAAAAATTATTATTATTATTATTATTATTATTATTATAACACTCGATTGACAACAATGTTCCCACACTGGCCATATCCAAATATGGTCAACCGCCCACACGGAGAAACTACATGAGAAATTAACACCAAAAGCCTCACACAATATAATGTAACTCAGGCACACTACTGCATGCTATAATATATATATATAACATACAAAATCTTATATTATACAACTAGATGCTATATTAAAGAACAAGACAATAAAGTAATATGAGAATCAAGAGTAATGGCAGAATCCTAGTGAGATTCGTAACATTCCTCCCGTCCCCTAAGAAAAAAATGAAATTAACTGAAGGTTGATTTCATTTTTTTTTTGACTGCATGAAATATAACAGGTAAGATAACATGAAAATAAAACATGAAAATGCTTCGACTAAAATTCAAGTGCAAAGCAATGAAATCTCACACAGTAAAAAAACTACAAAAATTTCATACATCTTATGAATAGAAACACTACATAGGTTTCACTGGAGTATGCAAATTTATCTCTCCAGGGTACTATCTCATTTATATCACTTAGTTTCAGATCATATTTCACACTCTTATCTACAACATTATCATTATTAGAATTGTCAAGAAAGGTAGCTGCTTTCACACAGTTATCACGGCAATTTATCTTTCTATCTGTTGCTACTATTTCTCTGAGATCAGTCCCATATTTCCAATTGATCCATTTTCTATATGGTGACATTTTCCAAGACAGACTCCCTTTCCCATTACTCCCTTTTTCTGGAGCTGAACTGCTTAATTGAAGCTGACTGGATGTTGAGTAGATTTGGGACTTCTCCTGGGTATGCTCTGACACAGACATCTGCTCTTCATCCCTCTTGATCCTCTGTGGAACACATACTCTCGCCCAATGGATACTAAAATTAGAGAAATTAGCATTAAACCTCACAATTATGTATAAAACTTTCCCATTCATAGAACCTTCCGAAACACAAGACACCGACTTAGCAAACCTTTGACCTTCAAACCAAGAAATACAACCCAAGATAAGTGCAAAGACTACCTGATCGAACTGACTCAGATGATCCATAAGGAACACAGAAATCAATTGCCTCATAACTCTGTCATAACGATCAGTGAAAGAAAACAGGCATATGCCTAGGCACCATATCTCAATCATAACTCTCAAGACAAGTTCACACCCCTGATGGTGAACTTGAACACAACACACACTATCATCAACCTTCTAGTCTTCCAAAAGACTAAGTAAAACATGCCAAAAACTTGACAACCCTCACCATCACTTCCCAAGTGATTTACGTCTGATGACAACCAATCAACCAAGAGGTTTAAGGGTCTTAACATCTTGAAGATGCACAGCAGGTTACCTGGGAAACACCCAAGGACAATCTGAAACCCTTCACAATGATTAACACTAGGTAGGATAACCTTATCCCCCAACTTGAAATACACACCTGGAGCCTCAAACATCTGCTCCCCAGTATGATTTAATCCTTCACCCACAATATGACTCTGAAAGTCAACACCACACTTGAGTGGAACATACACTTTTATCACTCGTGCATCAAAATTACCTGGATCTGAATATAGAGATACTGCTCTAGTATAACTCACCACTTCCTCAGAACTACTGGTTGCACAACCTACTTGAGTAAACTCTCTCTGCTCAACCACAAGGCTTGACAAAGATGTCCCACAGTCCATTACTTCACAAGAAAATGGCTCCTGCAGAATAAAAGTAGATTTCAACATCCTACACACACTCTGACTCAATGTACACAATGAGAAATACTTACTCCACATGGAATAAGAATCACAACCCACAAATCTCCGCAACTTAGATCCAAATGCTACTTTACCACTCTTAATTGTTTTACCAAAATTTCCTCCCATGACTTCTGGAGCTGCTCGGAGTATTGTCTGCTCACAATCAATAATATCACTACCAAGCTGGGTCACATCCTCACAGACAACTGAAGAGGGAGGCTCACTGGGTCTCCATCTACTCAACAGAAGCTGATCCTCTGGCTGCTTTCCCACACTCTCCAAAACTGGTTCTACAGTACAGTCTCCTTGCTTCTCTCTGAAATCTTAGGGTCAGTTCTACTCAATGCACATAAATTAAGGGAATCTGAAACGAGCGGGCAAGTAACAGGTAGTTTGACCTCCTCCCCTATTATATCACCTTGACTAGGGTGAGGCGGGGCCTCTACAACAGACTTACTCTCGACAACTGATTCTAAACTTGGAGTGAGCGGGAATACTTCTGCCAACCCGACATCTTGTCCTAAACCATTCACTTGGCTGGAATACAGAGTCGTGGCTTTTAAGTTTTCTCTCAACTCCTGGCACAACGTTCGTAGTGAGCGGCAAGACAATGGTACATGGACATCCTTTCCCAATTTATTGGAATAAAGCAGAGTCATAGTATCAGGCTTACTCTCAACAACTAAATCGGCCACACAGGAATCTGGAACAACCACATCCCACTTCTCCACCGAAGGGGTACTGGTTACTGGAACAAATGCTTGAGTAACAACATCAGAACTGACAACTGATTTATATTAGTACTGACATCAGCACAGGTAGAATGGCCAAAACCATCTATTACAACCGGTTGTTCATTCCTAGAACTAACTTCAGCACAGGCAGAATAAACAACATGGTCTGCAATTGGCTGGTTAAACAAACGGGGATCATTCTCACCCACAACATGATTTATGGCCACATCATTACCCAATATAACATCCACACCTGGGATGGGCAACTGGGTACTAACACCCACAGTGCATACACTTGGAGTAATGGTGGATCTTAAAGTAACGTCTATTAGAGGTACAGTTTTACATCCTGCAACACTC